CCTGCTGAATAGCTCCTCTGACTGCATGGCTCTGGAGTATTCTTCAGTGATCCCACAAAGTTTGATTTGTTGTCCGTCACAGGGCTCAAAATATTCATATCCTACTGACAGACTCTTTGAAGAGCAGACTTTCAACACCTTTCTTCATTACATCATGTGATTTGCTCACTGATGAGCAGAGGAGGAGTCTCTTTCCTGAGTCGATGAAGCAGCCGTCGTCATAACTCACAGAAGGCAGCTGAAACAGGGATTAACACAGCATTTGGATGTCAAGGACAAGTGTCTGAAGGGCTGAGGCACAGCAGGGTGGATACTTTTCTTACAGTATGCTGCCAGTGCAGAACAACAGTTGGAGGAGTCAGACCTATGGCACAGAAACAAGAATACAAAGGAACATGTTAGCACATAAGAGAGTGGGTAACAAAACCATAACGGAGACATTTTCATTTAAAATAGAAGTAGTTTGTATTCAGCAAAATGACCTCAAAACAGCACATTCAGTTCAGTTATAAAAAAGATTATATTACTGACCTACATCTGTGAGTAGGCAGTTATCTTATAACTAACTCCAACCAAGGGGAATGTAGGACTGCATTAATTTTGCAGAGCATGTCATCGAATATGCTCAATCTGTGTATATGAGAGGAGTTGGTGCCGCTATGGGCTCATAACAAGATAGATGTATATCTTTTTTGGCGCCTCCAGCCAATGCTTAACAGATGGCGGTGAAGCAAATTACAGCAACAAGAGGCAGATGTTCAGCTAAATGTTCGCATGTACCAATATCTGATCCAACCGCCTGCAGCATCATCAAGCCTACAAATTATACAGGAGGGATAGTTTTGCATATTAAACTCTAATTCCACTTTGCCTATTTATCTGATGTAGTTGGTTAGAAGGAAAATTAACAAGGATGATGAGATAAAATACCTGTGACAAATAAAAAAACTGAAATGTAATAAAAGCCAAAATTCACTGAACTATTTGTTGTCTACTCCACTGCTGTAACTTTAGAGGAGAAACTCTGCAGTTCATCTTTTTTCCTTGTTCAGTTCTGTTCAACTGGGGAAATAATAAATAGACAAAATGCTGATATCACCAGTTTTATTCATTAACCTGAACATCTGAGGACAGAGAGGAGAGTGAAAACACTGGCTTGTCCTTGAAAAGCAGCATTCCCTTTTGAGTATTTTCAGATGTCACATTCACACATACTGCAAACTCACATGGTTTCCATTTTTATCCACAAGTAATGCCTATTAGTCGTGTAGACTTTTGTCAAATAGGCGCCTAGTTTGTCATAAACCTTTGCTCAACTGCAGAAAACAATCTGACATGGACAATGTAATAAAGATGTTAAACAAAGACTGTACCGTATACTAACTCTGACTCTCCTAAAGGAAATGAGCAACTCTAGGAAATGCAAGCTAGTTAGTCTCTCCCCACGCTATTGGGTAGGTTGTAGGTCCAGTGGTGTTAAGCGACTGAGATGTTACACTGAATTAATCTCCTTCAACACCGATTTCTGCATGAAAGATCCCACTGGAGACTGCAGCTCTTCCTATATTGACCTAAAAGCTGTTTTCTTGTTCTTTGGGGCTGGTGATGTAACTCATTTCTCCTACTACTGCAATCATGTGAAAACCCCTTTAGTTATAAAGTAAACCCATCACATTACAGAGAACTGTGCACTGAATTTCTAGGTTTCTTGCTTCAGTGAAGATTGTTTGCCCTGTTAAAGCTCTTCTCTTTGTAAGATTTGCTTTGCTTCAGTTCTACAGCTTTTCCCAGACAGCTGTTTACATTTCTCTGTTATTTACTGTTAAAGAGGAAGATTAACTATTTTGGAATGAAAATGTGGGCCAAATCGAGATTAGCTTCAAGCCAGACTAAACCAAATACTGTTCTGGTTATGAACATAGTCTCATTCACAAAGGCGTGACAGAGCACAGGTCACAACTTTTTTTGCAAAGCGATTTGAAGCCATTCAGCAAGGCGCTGTGTTGCCTGGGCGTGTGCAAGTAAGTGTGCATTAAGTGTGAATTCCTGGGGGGGGTACTTTGTAACACAAAGTCAGCATTTAATCCTCAATATCGTCATGACAAAAGGTTGAATCAGTCATTCCTGATTTGAAAGTTATGTACAAGAGATTTAGTTCCATCACCTCAAACAAAAACACCAGCCAGAATAAGAGAAAGGGCATAAGTTGCATGAGGAGAGCACTGCAGATTGTTAGAGTGCCAACGAGTAATCTTTAATTCAAAAGGTACTGCCAAGCGCCAGTGATTAAAAAATATGAACGCTAGAACAAACTGATGGACGGCACATTTTGCATATTTAGACACATGATGGCAATCCAAACTGTTTACAAGGAGGGATTGGTGACGACAAAAAATCACCTTACTGAATTGGTGTAGTTTAGTATTTGAAGATGGTCAATTTTAAGATTGACTTTCTGGATAACTGTTTGTTTACACAACTGTTGTATGCTGGTGTTATTCATGGAGAAAAATCTACAGTTAAATTGTACTATTTTTGTATCATCATTTATATTATCACAAAAATGAACTTAAATATCATAATATCAGTCTTAGTCTACATTGCCAGCCCTTCCACCAACGCAGCCCCTTGTACTGCTGTAATGCAGAGCAAATGCCTGTGTGAACACAGCCTTAGATCAAGTGACACCAAAATGTGCCACCTGTGCAAACAGCTTTATCAAAGGTGACACTCCAACGGAGGCTTTTACGGATGACTGAGGGCAGGAAGAACAAAGAAGCTGACATACTGTAAGCTCAGTGCATGGTAACATAACAGCAGGACTGACTTCTCACAGCAGTCAGTGTCAAGCAGCTACAAAAGGCAGAGGGGGTGAAATACAGCCAAGACAGCCAAACCAAACATAAAAAAACACAATGATTATTATCACAGGATAAAACAGCATTATGCCATCACCTAAAATAAAACACATTAAAACTAAATAAAAAGACTCAAAATCAAACCCAGCAATGAAAAGAAAAGTGCAAATGTTCCCTGCCTAATTTAAAATCAGTTCACATTTAAAAGCCTTTTCATTCCAGGCTGTAGTGCAGCATTGGAATATTCAGTATTCAGCTTCTTTCCCACTGGTAGTGGAGTCACAGTAGAAAAAAAAAAACAAAAGCAGGAGACTAGTCTGTTTATGTTCATGCTGTCCAGCCTCTCTCCCTGTTTGTGTTGTGACATGGGGTCAGGAAAGGGTGAGCTGGACTTTATTTCATCTTGAGGACGGGACAGGTTAAACCAGTCAACTCCGTGGTCTGTGTTTCCTTTCCTTCGTCTATTAGCTACTTTCCCTGTGACAGTGATTAATGAACACAGTTGTACCATGTCTCATTCTTTATCCAACCCCCAGCTGCCTCAAAACATGCAGAGTGTCACAAGCTACTTGGTCAGCAGAATCTATCTGGTGTGTGACCTGAAGGAGCCTGTTTTCTTTGTGGCTGTGTGAACAAGGAGGGCAGCAGATGGAGGGGGGGACAGTCTGCTTTACTAACAGCCCTTTATTACTGGAGTAATGTTTCACCATTATGGGAGTTTAAGACACAAGACCTGGTAAACGGGGGAAGGGATGCTGAAGGAGAGAAAGAGAAGACTAATTACAGTAATGAACTCATTTCTGTCTCTGATGTCGGACAGGCTTCTTTCATCGGGGTTCATCCAAAGAAGAGCGGCCCGGCAGTTCTGCCAAGTCTTAAAATAATCACTTGACATTGGGGCCTGATTAAAGGCCTTGCAGATATTAATACGCTGTCAAAAAAAGTTCCCATGTTCTGACCACCATTCGGAAATAATACTCTACAGCAGTACAGCAGACAGCAGTATACACATGGCATGATGTCACAGGGCCAGCTCTGACAGGCTCACTACACCCACTCGCTCCTTAATAGTCACTTCTACTCATCAAACTGGGTAGTATGGGCACACCGAGTGACACTGTGATCCTAACCTATTTAAGCTATTGCTGAAAAATTGAAATTTTCCTAAGATATATGGAAATGAAGTCATAATGGAAGGATGTTTTGCAAAAACAGCACTGCATACATTAACACTGAAGCTCTATGTGATGCCAGTTGAGAACAAATTTGGTGCACAGCATTATTAAGACTAATCCACTTAGAGACGACAGCATTTGAGGAAATTTGGCAGCAACTGTACACTTAAACAGCAGTGCCATGTGATTAGCCCATTAGAATATTCTTGTGAGGAATGCCAAGTCCTTTGCATGGCTGATTTGTTGGCAACAAGGCCTGTTTCAGGTAGCAGCGGTTCTCTGAAAAGTCAAACATGTCTAATAATGACATGTTTTAGAGTTAGGGTTACATCTCAAAATATGCTGTGCTGCATAAACTGGAAGAGCTGATGTTGCACAGGTTTAGTAAATTGGGTGTTAAATATGCAGAAAGTCACCAAGATGTCACAATTATTTAAACAAAATATCAAGATTTGCATATGCATGGCCACCACAGGCACAGGTTTGTTGCATGTTGTTGCCAGTACACCCACTGTGTGCATTATAATAACATTATAATGTGTTATTATAAAATGCAGTACAATGACAAAGCCGAATGAAAACTATGCTGTAGGTAAAAGAAGGTACAAGGTCTCTGAATTAGGCTGTTACATTTAAGGCATCTGAAATGTGGATCCTACACAGTGTCCAGCTAATTACTCTTTAGGTCAAAGTCAAAGCATGTTTATTTGGCCCTGGCCAAGCTGCTGGGCCACTCTGAGCCCTGGGTGAACACAGACCTGTGATTATGGTCAATTATGTTTAATAACACCTTGTGTAATTGAGCCATATTAACACTCTTCTGTTCTCATCAAGCAGGAAATAGTAGCTGGCCTTGTCCCCAAGACGCTTCGACAGCCAGAGCCGAGACCAAGCCATGGTGCAGTCATACCCCCCCCCAAAGCCAAATTAGGGTGCAAGG